TCGGTGAATCCGTAACGAGGCAGTTAGAAAGCGTGTTTTCGGTTGTGTAACGGGTACTTCCATTGAAGAATGTGTCCAGCACCAGAAACTGCGTTGGTTGGGACATGTCTTACGTATGCCGAACCATCGTTTGCCGAACAGAGTGCTGTTTTTCATGCCCAATTCAGAGTGGCGTAAACAGAGAGGTGGCCAATCCTTGACTTGGCAGGGGAGTATGAAGGAGATCACGAAACGCTTTGGTGCTGTCGGTGCTACTCGCCTTCCAGGATGGGGACCGCGTTATCCCCACTGTGCCTGGTTGGAGACACTACAAGATACGGCTGCCAACCGATGTCAGTGGCGTTCTTGTTGTCAGTTTCTATCGACATTGCCTGAGTGAATGTCTGGAGGTGTAGGCACCTCGGAATGATTGTGTTAAGCTAGCACTAAGTCCCTCTCGCATCCACCTTTATTCTTTTCTTTACAATAAGGCTTTCAACTAAGTCATGGGTGTACGGCAGTGAAGCATCGGTGTTGAACACTGATGTCATGCTGTCGATGATGATGATGATGATGATATCCTAAAATGACCGCGCGGCAATTCACTCCCTCAATCGTCGTCTTGAGCGATGCGCTGAGCATTACAAAGATCGGTTCAGGTGGTATCCTTCAGCACAACCACCAGAAGAACCCAGCGATCCTGAGTGGAACATCGACATCATTTTCTGTGATCTGACAGATCTAAGAGCCAAGAAATTTGGTGGCCTCTGGCGATCAAAGGTATCCCTTCCAAAATTGTCTCTTATGAAATAATTTTGCGTGAACTCCCGTTGGCACGAGTACACCGCAAGCTTTCGCCTGAGTTCACCACATCCACTGGTGTTAGACAAGGCTACCCTTTCTCGCCTTTCCTCTTCAACTTTGTTATTGGTGATCTGCTTGAAATCTCCCTGCCTGCCTCTAAAACCTCGAGTCGAAATGCTCCCGGGATGTTCGCTCGCAAACATTGAGTACGTGGACGGTATTGCTCATCTTTGTCCATATGCTTCAAAAATGCATGCCATTTAAATAACCTAGATAACTGTGCTGAAAAGTTTGGCATGCGTTTCACACCTGCATAGTGAAGAGTTGCCACAAGGCTTGGTTGGATCAAACCCATACCAATCGGCGTGGTAGATTAGTTTCTTTACCAGGGCAGTTGTATGAGTTCCGGGGTAATGAGAATAGGTGAAATTACTTCTCGAATCGGCGATGCCTGGGCGGCTTTTGCAAATCTCCAACACCTTAAATTCTGACGTGATATCAGTTTGTCAAGGCAGGGTTTACATTGTGGCGGTGCTATCCATCAAAGATGTGGTCTGTAGGCACAGAGTACATACGAGAAATGTCAGTGCTTGACTGTCGGTGTCTCCGAAGCATTCGTCGGGTTTGGTGAGAACGTTGGATTAGTTCTGCTGAGGTAAACCAGATAGTCTCAGGAAAAAGGAACTCTCCCGCGATAGATGAATTACTTACGCTCCGTAAGTTACGCTGGTTAGGACATTTGATCCACATGCCAGAAGACCATCTGCCTCACAGAACTCTTTTCGCCCAGCCCTGTGCTGAGTGAAAGCGACCGAAAGGTGGACAGTGTATGACCTGTCAACGAAGTATGAAGACACCAAGTAAACTAAATCTGGTCGATACATGCCGTCTCCCTGGATGGGCTCCCCGGGACTCAACTCACCAGTTGTTAGTGGCACTGACAGAAATTGCCCAATCGCGCAGTCAGTGGCGCTCGCGCATCTGCGCTATCAACTTCAATGCGTAGGTACCCACTTCCCTAACTCACTGAACATGTCATCACTTCCGATGCTTCGCTGTATGTCCCAAACTCTCCCACGTTCTGCTGATCAAAACTAACAGGTGGAACCAATGTGCCTATGGTACACAGTTTAAAGCGGATGGATTGGTTTTTTAATGAGGCACACTCGATATTATCGTCCATATCAAATTTGAGCAGAGACGGGAATATTGGGCAAACCATACTTGAGCTGTCAAACAGATGATTCGCCGCACACCCGAGCTTGCCCGAACGTATGCAAACAGGGCGTTGTTAAGATGGGAACATACCTCAACGGAATCTTTTTCTGGGTAATGATCCGACCAAGTAGTTCTGCTAGCGGTATTAACAGCTCTTCTGCCACCGATAAAAACTAGAAAAGTTTTTTCTGAAACGTGCGGGGCTGCTATGTCTACTGTAGTATCAGATGCATCGTTTCTGAGACTGCTACCACTGTTGCTACAACAATTATTGCGGTCGCCGTTCCTGTAGATAGGGACTAGGATGGTTGCCCCCCTTAGGGTCCAAAGTCCAACTCAGCAAGGCAGCGAGTTGGTCCAGCAGCACAACTTTGCATCCAATTCATCGGTATGCTCTGTGTTACCCGAGACAGCTATTTACTTCCCGTCACGAAGAGACTGGACCTTACCGTGGTGTGGCGGTTTGTGTATCTCTGCGACCCATTGAGCTATACTGGGGAATGTCCGCACGATGCTCACAGAGTCTCTCATACCAGGTTGGTCCATGGGTAGAGGTCCAACGAACACAGTCTCCTAGCCCTCCAGGTTGGTGGGTGGAACATGTGGCGAGTTGTTCCATAGAAATGGGAATACATTTGCATTTCCCGCCAAACACCGCTGCCTTGCGGTTAGGCTTTTGGGCCAAAGGCTTGATTGAGGGACCCTATCGTCCTCCCTGTCTAGGTGTGGGTGCCCTGGCAGTATCCCAGCCGTCGTACAACCATGACATACACAACTATTTACTTCAGATTTACGAGGGATATCTGTATTAACCGCCCTCTGTGTGCAAGCGGTTCACCGAATTGTAGTTGAGAGTACATGAGAACAACAAAATTGACTTTCTAAGTATTCATCCCAACGTTCTGTGCATCTATGTAGGCTAGTTATGTAGGTCGCTCGCTTCCCTCCAGTACTGTCCGCCTGTTGTTCCAGGCCAGATTCTAACGTAAGTGCACATTAGTATCAACATTGATTATGATGGTACTTGATAGAATAAAGTTTTCTTTTGCATGCACATCCGTTTTCAGGACCCTGGTAAAACATTCCGTCACAATCGATGCTATTTCGCCGATCGCAGCGGCCGCCTCCTCCACCAGTAGAATGAATGCACAGCAGGTTAGTGAACATTTTCGTTCATTTATTATCCTGTGTCCACAGTTCCACTCGAACTTCCACAACCTCCAATGGAACGTCACACACTACTATTCGAAAGTCGCTCCATTGTTGTTGCGCACTAATTGGTCAGTCATGTGGTTCAGAAGTGGATGAATATACACCCTCAGCTGCGAACCGTTCATGAGTTTCATTCATCAGTGTCGTTTGAAGTGAGAGACGAAGAGCTAAGCATTGAATGCCGTAGCTAGTTCCTGTTGCGTGTGAACCGAATGATGATCACCTATTGGGTGTAATTTTGGCTTTTGGGGATAACTACGCACTAACACAGGTCTGTAGATATCTTTGTCTGCGCGTCTGGGTTATCAGCTGTAGCAAGTGAAGCTTGAAGCCCTTCTCCAGCTCACGCGACTGAGTTTCATTCAACAACATCTGCACATGCCGAGAGTACGCAGTAGAATGGCTAATGAAACTTCAAATTCCCAGAGTTCTCTAGTTGAGATGGCTTGTCCAACCTCTGGATGATGGTTTTCAGCCCTTACGATGCCCTAGGTTGTGTTGTCCCTAATTTTTTGTCGCCAGATCGACATCGTAGGAAAACCTACTCTACGGGAAATGCTCTGGCTTCGTTTGTTCTTCAGTCAGAAGGTTCATATTGCACCTTCCAACAGCGGAGAGATCTAGCCGGTCGGGACAGTGGCTGTTGTTGAGAGGTCGATTGTTTCATTAATGTGGTCAATAATTGTTCAGAATGTACTGGTGGTAATCCGTATTGCTCTGTCGTTACATACTGCTCGGATAGAACAAATACAGTGGTGCGTAGTCGTTTCCCGCCCGTAATTTCGTTCTTCTAAGATTACTATGCTTCACCACACTAAGCTAAACTGTTCTCTCCTCTTCTTTAAGGGTCGTGAGGCGTTAAGCTGGGTGATCAGGCACCGACTGCCTCTTCTGCACTCCTTCCCACATTGGAAGTGGAACTATTATCCTGATTCCAGTTGCGAAGAAGTCCTCCCCGCAACAGAGCCAATTCATACGTTGCCAGCTGCCGCTGATTCTTCCTCAATGGAAACAACCGGTCGGTCCAGTTCGGCCCCAGCAAGCCCATCCTGGAACTGGACACAGGGTATACTAGCTAGTCCGGTGACGACCGCGATGGCTGAAGAACCGAGCTCTGCTTTGATAGACATACCACCCAGTTGTCCGGCACCCGAACCTCCGCACAGTCGCCCCACGAAGCCTCGATTTTTCAGTGATGCGACCCTAGAAACCCCTTCACCAGAACCTCCTAGGTCCGTGGATTCACCCATTCATCGACTTGGTTCACATTTCGAAACGTTGACGCGTGACGTGACTGCGATGAGTGACGCTTTACTTCGACGATCTCAACGTGTTGCTCGTCTCTTCTCAAAAATCGACGAGTATGTGGTCATAATGTGATGATTCACGTGGCTTTGTCCGCCCTCCTCTCTAGCAGGTCTTAGATTAACCCTTTTTGGTTGAGCAATACCAAACACGTGTTCTTCTTTTCTAGCGCTTTCTCTTATTTTTTTGCCTCACTGATCGGTCGTTTTTAAACAAACACCATTTGTTCGTTTGCCCATCCTGTGCTTCTCTCTCCGGTGTGCGGGATTGTTGTGTGTTCCCATCGCCGGAGCTCCTTGAGTTCACCTCATCACAGTCTGCTCACACAGTGTCAGAAACGCCGAATAAATTCAGTAGTCATTGCGTGGCGTTCCCGTTTTTTTTGTTTGTGTTGGTTTATTGGTCCGAGTGTCTGTCGGCAAAGCAAGAACACAGCTTCGAACGCTGTGATTCATCAGAGTGAAGCGCGAATTGATATCTTCCGAACTGGACATTCTTTAGATGTGTAACTTTTTATACGTTCTGGAAGGAACACGGGATTCAGATCAGGCAGACCTGATTAGGAACAGCCGAAAGCTGGTGTGTGTGTGTGTGTGTGTGTGTGTGTGTGTGTGTGTGAAGAACTCACCTTATAACTCCAGACCCGTTGGAAGTTCACTCATCCTCCAGAAGCGAACTGCTCAACAGCAGCAATAATCTTTCTTTAAGAATTCTGGACTGTTTATGTGCCCCTTCCTTTGGGACTCCCGCTTTTGTTTTGCGATCAACCTTAAATGAACTGTTGTCGCGAACATCTTGAGAGCCATGTCCATCTGTGCGCTTGTAAAACTCCCCACCTGAACAGATTGTTATTCTTGGAGAACCTGACTTATATTCATTCATAGTGGTGAAAAAAAAATCGAGCCTTCAGTTGAAAGTGACCATGTACGAAGGGACTGGACCTTACTGTGGTGACAGTTTGCGTGCCTCCGCGACCTATTGATCTATACTGAGGGGAGGATGTTTGTGTGACATCCACAGTCTCATACCTGGTTGATCAATGGCTAGAGGTCCAATCAACAATCTCCAGACCCTCCAGGCGGCGGATTCGAACATGTATGGCGGTTTGTATGAAAATAGTAGTGCACCTGCGTTTCCCGCCAAAATCCACTGTATTACGCTCAGGCTTTTGAGCCAAAGTGTTTGATCGGGAACTCTAATCGTCCTCCTGCCCAGATATGGGCGTCTTGGCAGTATCCAACCCGCGTACAACCGTACGGCAGCAAAGCATCGGTGCTGAACACTGATGCTATGGTGTCGATGATGACGACGATGATTCAGAATATCCTACTTTGGACTACCGATGACTGGATCGACTGAATTTTCTAACGTCTTTCGTATTTTCAACTGGAGTTGGTAGAGAGCGTATGAAAGTGATTGATATTAGGTCTACGCTCCTTGGAAGTCATGCCCAGTCGCAGCTCCACAATAAATGCATATTTATCTGCCTATTTCCTCGCGTGATGACGCGTATGAAATACTGTGATATTAGGTCTACGCTCCTTGGAAGTCATGCCCAGTCGCAGCTCCACAATAAATGCATATTTATCTGCCTATTTCCTCTTGGGCGTGATGACTCAGTGGTTAGAGCGCGAATTTACTTGCCTGAAGGTCCGCGTTTCGCACCCGACCTCTGCCTCTCCACTTGCTCTGTGTAGGCTTGAACAACCTGGTATTATCCCAGCCCTTGTGCTTCCTTGGGGTGGCCTGGTAGCTAAGCACGGAAAGGGTGTTACAGCTGAACGATTGTTTTTATAAAACTCTGTCTTAATAAGTTAGTCATACCAAACTCGGACAATCCATTTTTCTTTGCTGCGAATTTCTAATGCCTGTATACCCTCCGAAATTCAGAACATTTTGTTACTTGGCAAAAAGTATGCTTTGTTTTCAATCTTAGAGGCACAAAGAACACATAGAATTTGACACATTTTGAAAGATCTTGGTGATCAAAAATCGGTGTCTGTTCAATCAATAGTATCCTGATTGTTGGGGTCACTCACGGGATCACGTGACCGTAGTTCATCCACTGGTCCTGTAGACCGCGACCTGAAAGGTAACAAGTTCATGATGATGTGAGCAGGTGCTTAGTATTCGCGCGAATTTAAAATGCTTCGTGGCTCATATAGAGTTTACTGACGCCGATCGTCCATAGTTATCTTGGTCTGCACACTAATGGCCCAGTAGTCAGCTCAGTGAGTCTCCCAACTAGAGATACCTCATCAAGCTTGGTGCGATAGTGTTGGTCGGTAGGTCCGTGATGTGATCCCAACCCCGGCTTCTCGGTTGCTCTTGACTACCCTTGGGCAACCCTACAATGGCCAGCTTTCGTACGTCTTTCGGGTTACTTATGGCCGTGTCTAGGAGGGGTGCCACGGCTGAACAAGTCCCTTGAACTTCATGTTTGCCCTCGGATAGTTACGCATCACTACCTTTCCTAGCTACCTCACTCGAAAAGTGGTTGCCGCTCTGGAAAATCGGTGATAGTACTTTCTATCAACTGTGGTCTAGTGTTTGACGCCCCCTCCCCTTACCAAGGAGGGGGGCTAGTATTCCCATGGTTATCTCTATTTTGGAATGGTTACTGCAATCTGCGTCCTAATGGCTGCAGTGTGACTGACCTCAGCGGCCAACTTTCTCATGAATACATGTTCTACTCAGAGAGTTTTCCTTCGTGGCTGTGGACTGATACATACATATTTTCAGGCAGCCTCAAGGAGTAGTGTCGCTCAGGATGGATATGATGACACGGTTATCAGGGTTGATAGTGTCTCTTATCGAGGGATCTGCTTTCCTCAATCCGCTAAGGCTGTTATTGGACTGGGACTTCGTAAGGTCGCAGTCAGTGACTTGTGTTTGCTTGCCATTGTGGGCTCCCTGCGTACTTATGACACTTTTATGCGTGGCACATGGCGTTGAAGGTACATTTTTGCCATTTAATCTCACACCAGACCCAGTATGACGGTCACTTTGTGCCTGATGTGCGAGTCTTGACTGTGCTAGCGCACACTGCGCCTTGAAGAGCATTCACCATTGTTTGTCCTTTCTTTGGTTGTTGGTCCTTAGACGCGTGTTCCCATACCAAAATCTTTGCATACTTTGGGATTCACCTCATCAGACTGGCACAGTCCTTGGCATGATTTCGAATGAGACGTTTATCTCTTTTCTCCCATATTCTCCTGTTACTCTTTCGCATTCATCGCTTGCACTCACTTTTCATGTTTGTGACCATGCTCTTCAAAAAATAAATGATAATATATAATAGTAGTATAGTCCCAAACGATGTTAATTTGGCCTTAGTGACCAAGGGTATCAACCCCCGTCCCGGCACACCGTACACATGTTGTCTTGGGGAATAAGGGCGCAAAAAAGAGACTTACAAAGAAGGATTTTCAAGCGTTTGTCCGTTGTTTGGGGGTTTTCCCAGTAACCAACTCACCTGGGGCATAGGTTAATTCCAGCAGCTGTACGCCCACTGGTTCCGGTGGCCGCGTGCGCTTCGTTTGACCGTCGGACGCCAGCTAAATGGGGTTGAGAATACACGGAATGAACTTCATTCATGTACGGAATTGATATCGTATTTGACATTAAACATTGTATTCGGGTACGTTAGATATCATCAGCAGTGCATAACCTCGTCCTTACGAGCATTCAAACTCCAGTATGCGTTGAGAATACGAACTCAATCGAATGCATACCCTCTAGACAGGTGACCATACAACTCACCCATCAATTGACTTGGCGGTTGAGGTTGACGGTTAACTTGTTTGTTCATTTAAACTGGTGTAGAAAGGATCCAGTACCTCTTCTTCATTGTCGAGTAAACAACCCACTCGCCCCAGGTCTGTTCAACCGAGACTGTATCGGGTACACACCCTCAGCCGACCTTTGGATGTACAGAAACTGGGACAGAATTTAAAGGTCGTTTTATTTGGCTCGTCCGATAACTCGATCAAAACATGAATAAGCCGTTTTGTCTAAGGCAGCAGTAGTCGAGCATTCTCGAAAGAATCATACTTGCGGTCACTAAGAGGGACTCAGTCTAAAGACCAAACCACACAACGCTGTACTCGGGCCATCCGTTTTCGCACGTAACTTCCTCTAGGTTGAAACACCCAGCCCTCTACATCGCCTAAAAATGTTGTAACAGTCCCCTGGATAGGTTTTTTGGTTGCTACGGAATGTGATGTTTCGCGTGACGCATCGGGTTGATGCATTCAAAGGAATTCCAACTGCTTCAATTCCGCTCAAATGTGTGATTTACTTGTCTTTCCATCATCACTGACAGACTGGAACACTGGTGCTTCACTGCCCTTCAACCACATCAATTTGTTTGAATAAAGCCCTAAACCTGTAACACTCAGTCAGACAATCTGGATAGAAACTGACAGCATAAACGCCACCGACATCGGTTAGACGCCTTACCGTTCAGTGTCTTCAGCCAAGCACTGAAAGAGTCACGCAGATTCCATCCTGAACTTCGAACAGCACCAACCATGTTCACACTTTTCGCATCATCCTTCATTCGCTTCTGTCCATCTTGGATGAAGATAGAGCCGCCAGATCGGCTCCTACTTGCGTACCTTCGAAAGCCACGTTCTGTCAGTTCTCGGGTTGACTTGGTCCGTACCGTGGAAGGGACTTAGGGTTAGCTTACCACAATCATTGGGAGGTGCCCACACCTCCAGACATTCACTCAGGTAATCGGGATAGAAACTGACAACAAGAACGCCACTGACATCGGTTGGCAACCATATCTTGTAGTGTCTCCGACCAGGCACAGTGAGGATTATGTGGTCTCCATCCTGGAAGGCGAGTAGCAACGACAGCACCCAAGTGTTTCGTGATCTCTTTCATACCACTCTGCCAAGTCAAGGGTTGGCCACCTCTCTGTTTACGCCACTCTGAATTGGGCATGGAAAACAGCACTCTGTTCGGCAAACGATGGTTCAGCATACGCAACACATGTCCCAACCAACGCAGCTTCTGGTGCTGGACACATGTGATTCTATTATCTACGCGTGTCCACCTTTCCCACGTGAGTGCGGTGTCGGAAGTCACGCACTTGTCCAACGGGACTTTATACTTCCTGCGTTGCGAATACACCCTGCGGCGGAGAGTATCCGTCACGACTAAACACTAAGAAGGTAGTACTATCGCGTTGACACTCACAACACACAAATTACGGCCGGCTGTTGTTTGGTTCAGTCCAGCGTTAGTGACAATGAACCAGTGTCACCTCGCCCCATTGGCTGGCTCTTTGCTTGTGCCCTTCACAAGTGTTCTTAACTCTCCATCATTTTGACAACGGATCCGAAAATCCGCAGAGCACGTGATTGGACGCTTATGAATTATGCGTACGATAACGAAAGGTAGTTTCTGATTGGTTGCTTGGATTTCGTCAACCAGCCTCTGTGTGCAGATTCCATCAGCCGGTTTACAAACGTGTGGGTTGACACCGGTTTTTCCGCTCCCATTCAACATAGGACGTATGGATTTCTGGTGCGCATTGTCTGACCTAGTTGGTCACTGAATCCATGACGTTTCACTCTCAAAATCTTGAGAGATATTTCAAATGATTAGGTGATGCGGACTGTTTTAGGAACCGTTCAGCTTTAATGCCCTTTCGGTGTCCGGTTGCCATACCACTTGATAGAGGCGCGAGGGCTGTCAAGTTGCCCAAACCCAGACGGGATCAGTTGAGATGTCGAGGTTCGGTCCGGAATGCAGACCTCAGGGTCACAAAGTTCGTGTCCTGTCCATCTTGACTGTGAATATGACTCATTGTTCATTACACTTACTGAAACAAGGTCCCTGTTTGTGGTCCGTAAAAGACAGCAGTCCAGTCTTCATTTTCGGACGAGAGTCGAAAGGACGCCGGAGTTAAAGGCAAGGGGATCTTTGCATGGGAGAACAGGTTCTATCACGCTTGTGTGGTTCGGTTTGCCACAAATAAGTAGGTCAGGTTTTGCTTCTACTCACGTGTCACGCGAGTATTTTAGTCCCTCCCGACGGGAATCCCCCTCTACAATGAACACACCTTTGAGAGCTGCTGGTTAAAATTACTTCTACTAACAGTACGCCCATCAGCGACGGCAGACGTCGCCAACTCAAGCGTTTCAGCCCGTCTAAACGAAAATGAAACATCAATCGAGGAGGCAGGGAAAACTACAAACCGAGTGATCTTCACTTCTCCATCGGTGTTTTGACGGAACAGGAACTTGGCTTTAACTTCAATCAAGTCTTAAGCACAACACACGGCAATGTAATCGAATACGCTGAAACTGTACAACAGCTGAACCAATACTACTTGTAATCAGGCAGTACTATCGTAAGCCAAAGTCCATTTGTCTTCCAAATATCTGATCTGCGATTGAGACAGAGCCCTGTGCAAACTTGAAGTCCAAAGCACACCAGTTGTGAGTTGAGAGAAGCAAGCGAATCTGCCCCTGAATGCCTGATGCAGAGATTGATTTTAGGCAAGCCCTGCTTGACCACATCGATCTTACAATTCCACGTAAGATTCGGCTTCCTAATCAATAGGATTCGATTATTCTGAGAATCCAAACGTGTGAAAATACCGACGGTTTAGGCTAGTTTTTTTTAATCCCGACAATGCAGGCCATCAACCATGTAACAGCTAAGCCCTTTGGACAAATACACTCATTTCCAAATCAATTTGGTTTTCACGAGAGACTCAACTGAATCTCTCGTTTATGATATTCTACAACTGAATGCGTTGCATACGGACCGCCTCATCTTTCAGTTGGTACGATGTTCGAGATATCGCAATGTATTTTCATAAAGGAAACTACTCACAAGGTTGCTGAAAACTCTTCGACAGCGCACGACCGGTTTTGTCCTTCTTGGGGCTCATCAGGTAGGCGCAGTCCCCGAGTTTCCGTCAACCTTATATTCTACTGCTCACTACACCTTCTGTCGATATAATGGGTCTTCGATTCTGCTGGAAATCTGTCTGGCGCGTAAGAAACTCCTTGGAAATCGAATTTGGTTTTCCGGGAGACTCACCCGAAACTGTCGATATAAGTGTATTTGTCGAGATCAATTAGAACATAAGGTTAACGGAAACTCGGGGACTGCGTCTACCTTATGAGTCCCAAGAAGGGCAAAACCGGTCATGGGCTGTCCAGGAGTTTTCAGCAACCTTGTGAGTAGTTTCCTTTATAGGCTAATCCTCTTATTGCCGGAGTGCAGTCGACCTGAGGGTTGCAAAAGTTTACTACCATGCCAAATTTTGTTTGTTTAAGATCACACCGTGAAAATCCCACGTCTTCACCCCAAGTTTCCCCTTGTGAAGGGATTGTATTTCAACTTGGCTCCCATAAAGAACGAATAATCCGCGGTACAGAGGAAAACACATTTCCAACAGTTGCCCACTTGACTCAATTGTTGTCCAATGGGGATCTTCCCTTTGACCAGGTCCTAAGGCCGGCCCCTGTTTTTCGGACCAAAGTATTCCTATCTGTGTGGCAAACTGAATGCAGAAGTCAGACGGGTACAACCGCATAGCTCAGATTCGATCTTACTGACCGGAAGGTCTGTGGTTCAAACCCAACCTCGGCATCTCGACTGCCTCGGTCCGTGCTTGGGCAACTTGGCAGTATCTCATCCCCGTGTATCCTTCAGGTGGCCTGGCAACTAGGCACACCTGAAAGACTATCCCTGTTTTTGTTATCACATGCGAAAAGTCAAACAACCTTTTTAGTTCGACCTGGTACATTGGAAGGACCGTAGGGCGAATCGGCCAGGCCTGAGTAAACCTGACATCCAGGTAGTGTATCGCTAGCCTCATTGCTGCAAAAACGTCAGCCATTTGTGTATCTCATTGAAAACGCGTCACCTATTTTGGTTCCAACTGAGGACTCAGTAAACATCGCTCGCTGACGACCGTTGCCTGATCAGTAAACTAGGGTAGTCTAATAGGATATGAGTCTCTGTAATGCACTACTCAAGGTTGCTGAAAATTCGTCGACAGCCCACGACCGGTTTCGCTCTTCCTGGGGCTCATAAAGTAGGCGCAGTCCCCGAGTTTCCGTCAACTTTATGTTCTTCTTGAAGCCAAATTGCACGAAGTTAACGGACTACACTCATTTGACGGAAACTCGGTGACTGCGCCTGCGTGATGAGCCCCAAGAAAGGCGAAACCGGTCGTGGACGGATTTTCAGCAACCTTATGAGTGGTGCATTACAAATATATCTGTATCGCGATATCTCGAATATCGTAGCGACTGAAACATGAGGCGGCCCTGGTGCAGCCATTCAGTTGCCTGAGAACATCACAAACGGGAGACTCAGTGGGTTCCAAGTGGGTCTCTCGAAAAACCAAATTAGTTCGCAAATGAGGGTATGAGTTTCTTTTCACTGTACGGTCACTTGATCCAGTCCCACAACTCCTCTGGGCTTTCACAGAAGTTATTCGCCAACATCCATCGCTTCCAACCTGTGGCTCCCATTCCGTCGTTTTACTAGTGCTCGGCGAACGAAGCTGTGGCAGCTGGAACGGTTTGTGAGCCGGAAACTTGATCCGTCGCCAGAATCAGATCATTTCTGCAGCCGGTGTTATCGTGATGATGACTACAACTCACATGCCTGTTCATCCATTCTGTGGCTTCGGTTGGTAGTTGTGATCGGGCAAGATGTCAGCCACTAGGTGGACGCTCGCAACTATAGATAAAGATCAGTGAAAAGGCACTGCTCACTCACGTAACTATCACCGCGACCGTGTGTTGCCTTGATTGCATGGGTATCCGGTAGACCACAACGAAAATAAGCGTGCGCTTGACAAATGAATTGAAGGGCACGTGTCTGTTGATCTGCATTTGAAGAATCAAGTCAGCTTTGAGCGATACCAAATTCGTCCCAGATCTGAGTACTTTAGTGTCTCGCGACAGTCATCAGTGGTACTCTGAAGGCCAGGTTACATTCCTCATTCGCTTCTGACCCCAAAAGAGGCGCCTGATATGACAATTTGTCAAAGAGCGAACACGTTCTCACTCTGTCCATCACGACACCAAGAATGACACTATTTTGAGAGCGAACTGTATCTTGTGCGTTAGAGTGAGCTGTTCGTGACTTGAATTCGTTTAAAGTTACATCCTTTCGTTCGTTACGTTCATGTGACATGTGAATGGTTCACGATACGTAGCTTGATAGTTTGTCAATGGTCTCGTGTCTGGTGCTGTCTTTTCATGTGACCCGAACGTGAAACGCTTCCAGGTTTCCGTGACTGTTACTTCATATTTAAATTCTAAGCCTTCGTAAGAAGTGAATACTTTAAGAATCGATACCCCCAGGAAAAGCTCACTCTGAATAAGAACACTCCGTGAATTATTGCGTCAAACCCTCATGGTTTCGAAAAAATAAACTGTTTTGACTTCCGTTATCGGAGTTAGTAGTACAGGGTTTTCGCGCCCTTCAACTACATATTTTTGCGTCCTGATTGGACGTTTCGTCTCCCCTCGGCAAAGAAGTATGAAAACACTAACCAGTAAAATGTGTCGGGCCGAGAACATCCGCCTCCCTGAGTGGGGAACCCCGGACCCAACTCATGAATGGTTAATGACACTGGCGGAAATGGCCCTGATCGCGCAGTCAGTGGCGTTCGCGCATCAAAGTTGTTGACGTCAACGCGTAGGTACCCCGTTCCCTAACTAACTGAACGAAAGCGAGATGGCTCAAGTGGTTAGAGCACGAATTTATTGACCGGAAGGTCTGTGGTTCGAGCCCGACCTCCGCCTCTCGGCTTCCCCTGTCTAGGCTTGGGTAACCTGGCAGTATCCAAGCCCTCATGCTTCCTTCGAGTGGCATGGCAGCTAGGCACCGGAAGGGTGCTACAATTGACTGGTTATCTCTGGTTATCAACTAACTGAATATGACGTCGCCCCCAGTGTTTCGTTATATCTCCCCGCAATCTCTCGCCTTCCGGTGAAGTGGAACCAGTGTACTCATGGTGTATGGTTTCTAACTGATAAATTGATTGACTGGCTAAATGAAAAACCAAATTGATTTGCAAATGAGTGTATTTCTCGAAACCAGTCCAATTTGGGTTGAAGTGGAACACAAGGTTGACGGAAACTCGGGGACTGCTCGCCTACTTGATGAGCCCGAAATGGGAGGGCGAAACCGGTCGTGGGCTGTCGAAGAGTTTTCAGCAACCTTGTGAGTAGTTTCCTTTATGAAAAGAATTCGAACCAACTTAAGTTTAGTGGAATCAGGATGTTTATCAAAATATGGCTTTGTATGGATTTCATGCAAAGCCTACTCACCTTTTCTGAGTGTTGTTCAGCTTTCCCAGTTGAGGCCAGTCGCAGTACATATTCTTCATTCAGACAACTGTTCAAATTGACTACCAGCGCATTCTGCTCGTCTAGATTCTTCGGGTTTTGTGGCACCACGCCACATTCTTGCTTGGGTTTCTCTTTTAGACTGAACGGGTCCATCCAAAATTCAGTAAGACCGTCCCGTAGACATTGTACAACCAGTTTCACATAAAATCGATTACATCTGGTCGGAGCTTGTTTGAACTGTACACGAAAGAGCACGGTTGCTGTCTCATTTTGATCGGCCAAGTCACCTGTCCATGAGATACCGCGAGATCCAAGAAGTGTCTGTGGGGTGCTGAATGGAAGGAAGTAAATTCAACGATAAGTCCTTGTGGATGCTTAGCTTCACACGACTAGGATTATTTAGTGAATATCAGTCATATCATCATCGGTACGCTGCGATTCCGGAACTATCCTGTCATTGAACAGCTGACCGTATTCTGAAGTAATTCGTATCGGATGATTGCTTAAGATCCCTAAACCGCACACTATTCGTTTTTCCTTCTTTTGGACTTATCAGGTAGGTGTAGTACCTGAAGGCTGAAACTACCCTCTCCTGGCTTGGTATAATGATGTCATATACATGCTGAAAGTACTGGAGCTGGTCACATGACAGATCCCCTCGTGGATATCTCTATACTACTTAATTCAGGAAACCTCTTTGAATGTTTTTAGAATGGAATTTCGAAGCAACCTGTGTGCCGGAACCTAACGGTGCTTTAGACCCATCGAGTCCCCAGCTCCAACAATTTTTCTCATGCATACGAGCGTAAAAGTTAAGCGTATCCTCGATGATTCGGTTAACCGATTGTGTTTTTGCCGTACGATCACAGTCTTTTGAAGCTGAGAAAGATCTTCTATGGTTGATAGATATAACCGAGATGCTTGGTCAAACAAAGCCTCTCGTCGTTATTGGAACTCATCAGGCAGGTGTAGATCGATCCTGCCACTACCTTTCAGACTGCACCTCCGCTGATCGATTTTTGCGCTATTACTGGATTTAAATCAGCTGGTAGTCCGTGATGATTTGAGAAGTTTGGGCGGAAAATTGTGACTACTCGTGAGTAGCTTCGTTGTTTAGATAGATAAACACCCTTTCGGTGCCTGGATGCCATGCCACTCGAAAGAAGCATGAGGGCTGGGATACTGCCAGGTTGCCCAAACCTAGATAGGGGAAGTTGAGGGGTAGAGATCGGTTTCGAACCACAGACCTCCCAGTCAGTAAATTCGCGCTCTGACCACTGAGCCAACTAGCTAGACCAAGAACCAGACCTAAGGTTTTCCCTAGTCAATCAATAAATTCGTTGACGGAGTTAGCGATGCCTGGAATCGCCAGCATACTGGACAAACGGATACATTTTTCGTCAATGTACAGGTCAGTCCAGGGCCTTCAATGCGCAGCTCTCATTCGCTTATCGTCTTCATCCACGGTAAAGGGAGCTGTACCAGCTGGAACCACTGTGCTTGTGGGCTGAAAAACTGAACTAATCAGTTCTAGCTACACAGCCCTCAACCAGGTTCATACTTAGAGTGCGCACGCCAGGCTGAATTGCTGACCAAGCCGAGTCATGTATAGTCAAGCGGGTCTACTGAAGTGGCGTGGGTTCGTGAGACGTAGCTTCTGCGAATAGCAGAACTGGAATGTCCTCAAGTCATCGATAACTCGTGCAGTTTGATGCTAACGAATCCAGAACAAGACATTGTTCGGTTAGGCAATCGAAGAACTTGTCTAGCACCAGAAGCTGTGATTGCCTTGTCATGTATTACGCACACTGGATCATCGTTTGCCGAAAGGTGCTGTTTTACTGGTCAACCTCTAACCCGCTAAGGGGTATGAAAGTGATTACAGTCTGTGTACTGCTGGTTTGGCTCGGCTTCCAGGATGGGGTCCTCGCAGTCCTTCTACAATAGGCAGAGATACTGCAAAATACGGCTATTATTCGATATCAGTGACCTTCTTGTCGGTTTCTATTCGGACTATGTGATAGCGAGGCTTCAGTGGTGATAGTGATGACTGACGTGGAGGAAAAAATGTATCAGCAATGCTCATGACGTCACTGGTGTGGTGGTCATCTTTCAAATACAGATGGATGATGTTGGGCATTGCCGTCGTGGTGGAAGCTAATCTGCCATTTAGATCGCATCTGAAACACACTGAACTAGTGGAACACGTGACCACTGCAGTGGCCGTTGGTCTGAGCGATGCAGGCTGATTGATCAATCAAACCACGTGACTTATTTGATTGGAATTCGTGTCCATCATCGGCACGCGCCTACAAAAAGAATCAGTAAACTATTCTCGTCATTCTAATCGGTCCAGTGAAACTACTAGCTCAGTCGTGTTAACCTGATCATCTTTTCGTCAACGCCACCTTGTGTTTGATGACACATTCTCGTTCATTTGACGTGGAACGTTAAAAATGCAGGAATATGTCAAACAGAGATTTCCAAATCAAACAGCACCATGTGACTAGACTCACGGGATCCGAATACATAGATTCATGCCTTTCGTTCTAGGAAACCGTGCTGATTACAGCATCAATGGTAAACAACAGTTACGTAACACCACATGAAGCAAATATTTCCAGGAGTTTTTGAAGTTCCGACTAACATTTTGTCTTTCAAAAGAAATCCTCGTGTGCTGAAAGAGCTAGGAATATGGCGGCGCTGCACCTTTGTTTTGAGTTGGTGTGTGAAAAAAATTACTGAACGCTGTCAGTTACTGAAGTTTTTCTACGAGGAAACCATCAGTCGGGATGCTAAAACTCTTAGTGTTGATGAACTTTCGTTAAGACGCTGTGTTTGGACCGAAACGGGCGTCTTTGGGTGGAGAGTACCCTCCAATATATATGGGGGCACATTTGATTCAATACAGATGGCTGTTTTTTGTCTGGAGACGAACAGGTTGATTACAAACGTTTCCAGATGACATCACCGCTGTGTAGCGAAGCGGTGTGGTGCGTCTGTGAGCCCCCGCTGAGCAATATCGACGCGTTTATATGCCTGATACAGACTGATTATCTGACCGGACGACTTTGTTTGTTGAACCCTGATCATCATCATCATCGACAGCATGACATCGGTGTTCAACACCGATGCCTCACTGCCGTACAACCATGATAATGTCATGGCTGGGCTACTGTCAGGGCGCCCACACCTAGACAGATGGACGATTAGGGTCCTCAACCAAAGCCTTTGGCTCAAAAGCCTCACCGCAAAGCAGCGGTGTTTGGCAGGAAATGCAACTTCATCACCATTTCTACGAAACACGTCGCCACACATGTTCCAACCCCAACCTGGAGGGCCAGGAGACTGCGTTCGTCAGACCTCTAACCATTGACCACCCCGGTATGAGAGACTCTGTGAGTGTCACTCCACAGCATAGTTCAGTGCATCGCTGAGGTGCGAAATCCGTCACACCACGGTAAGTTGCAGTCTCTTTGTGACGGTGTTGAACCCTGTGTTTCGATGGGCCGACGTCCACGTGACCTCCGAACTTGACCTCTTTGACTCAACGGTTTAACCTGGGGGGGCAGCCTGGTCCCATTGAGTGCGACATTGTTATCCCCGATGATGGAATTTGTCATGAAGAAAACCAATCCAAACGTCAAGGCGCTTTTTGCATTTCAAATCAAGAACTCCGCTGAACCGTTACAGAATATGGGCATTCAGTAGATATGGCCACACACCTGTGTTGCGCATCACAACATCAAATTATTACATGAAAAAACAGCGAACAGCACCTGGTTTTGTGCCAAACAATGTCGTACAACAACGTTCAATCATTCCGTTCCAGGTAGCCCTGAGGTGCGCTACAACCCTGTGTGAATGAAAAGCGATTTTCAATCTCTGACCACGTCTACACCACTGCTGAAAGTAGCCAATAACGTTTGAGAGATCGCTGTCGGCGTAAGGTGTGTCACAATCAAAAGCTTATCGATCAAATTCATGTGGAGGATGTCTTTGTACAGATCAAGTAGGCTGCTTTGTGGTTTGAATAAGCCGACAAAAATAGTAGGCTTGATGAAGAATTCAACAGACTTAGACGTACCTGGACAACACAAGGTAACTTCAACCGGTGTTGCATACTCTGAGAAGAATGTGACCTCGAAAGTGATCCACACAAAACCAATATAGGAACGCATTAAGAACCAGTCAGTGCACGTCGGCTGTAGGTAGCGAGTTGACTGCGGGCGAGACTGCCTTTGAGTTCATTACAGGAACGACGAGCAAACATACGTTTGGGAGGAACCCCCGAAATAGGAACACCTCTGCCGAGAAGACACTTTTGCTCATACGGATGGTTTTATTCAAGTACAGCCTCCCATTGAGGAGAACAGCCCAAAACTGAGGGACATTCGCTTTGTGGTTCTACAAACGGCCAACAGAATAGCCTCTAGAAGTGGAGCGCTTTACGATCGAGACCCGTTTTTACCAGATAACAATACTTAGTGACATTGGATCACTTCCCCACCACGTCAGCGAACTCCTCTTGACTAGGGTTATCCCCATGTGTCCGGCACACATAACACCGTTGGAACAATCCACACAGAACCACTTCATGGGGCGAGATGGCTCAAGTAGTTAGAGCGCGAATTTACTGACCGGAAGGTCCGTGTTTCGAACCCGCCCTCTGCCTCTCGACTACCCCCGTCTAGGCTTGGGCAACCTGACAGTATCCCAGCCATCGTGCTTCCTTCGGGTAGCATGGCAGCTAGGCACCGGAAGGGTGTTACAGCTGAACGACTTCAGGTAAGCAAAGATGGACGTTTAATCTGATTAGCGCGCGGTAACCATGAGTTTGTTTTTGAAGCTAATGGCCGTTGCGGGGGGGGGGGGGGCCAATGCCAGTGGCGGGGGGGGGGACCCGGCGGTCGGTGTGTGACGGAATCTACCGCCAGATAATATGACAACAGCTACTCGGTTGCTTTTTTCCATGGTTCTTGGCCCTAATTGGCTGAAAAACACAATGCAAGGCAGTCTAGTGAGTGACTTTCTTGATCAGTAGGGAGGGTGTCAACTTCTACTAGGAATTTTGTCATAACTGATTGCGATCCAGGCTACATAAACTTATCGATGGGGGGGATTTACTCAACCAATCTTTCGGTTTGTATAGATTTCGGGCAAGTAGAAAATCAAAGACCCTAGCACGACGTAGGTGAGTTCACCTTACCTGGAAACCGATAAAACAACTACCAGTTGAATGGATGTACACCTGACTGTCAGAGTTCATACGAGGACATTTGTAATGTCGCTCACTGTTTCGAGCACCCGAGAACCATGTCTCTTTTCCACGCCAGTTCAGATGATGAATGAATCATCCAATACGAGGTACCTGTTCACGTTGACTCAAAAGTTTTCGAGAACATTGGATATCTCAAGACCTGTTCGGGAAACCCAATTCTCACTAAATTCCCACTGTTCTGATCTGTAAAAAACTTCAATGTGGTTCTTATTGGTCACCACCCTCACAAGAAAACGGCCCTGCTGAGATGATATTCTCGTAACCCACGAAGCTGTCGTAATCCCTTGATGCTGTACTGTGAACCGTGTGCAGCACTGACGCAACACAGGCATTGTTCTTCTCTGCTGCGTTTACGATGCCTCGGTAGATCCAAGCGATATGCGACGGCAGGCACTAAACGGTCTTACCTTCTTGGTAAAGCGGATTGCTGTGGCCACTTGTTGAATTATGAGGATTCGCTCACCGTCGGAAAGCTCATCAGATGAAGTTAACTGACGTCCTGTACCCAAGATTTTGGCGTTACCAATTCCTTACAGGGAAGATTCTCGATACTTTTCTCCAAGTGAAAGCCGTTGTGACTTCCGATTGGGGGGTTAGCAAAGAGTTAAATGTATCTCAAGCCTCTAAGATGGGTAGATCATTCATTTCCGTGAATCGTCGCTCTTGCATTCCCCCCTTTCTTTGAGTTGTTTCGTTTTTCAGGCACTATTTCACAAATGAAGTTCCAGCTCCCCTGGACAGAGGTAAAGCGAAGTGAATTCTGAAAGGTTGCTTGATCTATCCGCGAGTTCGCCCTGCGAAACATTCGAACTGAGTAGCGCAAAAAACGAACGCCAAAGAAAAATGGGGGTCGAACCCAGTTTAGTCGTTGGTATAGAATTCGCGCACGCATCACTCCCGTTTGAACAGTCGTCCTTCTTTCTTGGTGCAGTTATTCCGGTGAGTCCTGGGGAGCACTGGGCTCGAGCTTCACCCTAATTAGACTTCATCAGGAGGCCTTGGACAACTTAGATGATTGGCGTAATTCATGGAAAGTATTAGTTGTAAATGAACAAGGTCGCTTGCTCAGGTAAGACAGTTTGGGTAATTCCAGCGTGGGACACTAGTTACCAGCTTACCTGGCACGTCAACTATGCGAAGTTCAAGCCCCGTCATGGTCAAGGGTATGCACAGCTAGTTCGCCCTCTAATAAGATCGAACCTAAAGTCCAGTACTTCCCCGTTTGGCGTGGACTCACTGGAATAATTGTACCTAGAAAGGAGGACGGCTGTTCAAACGAGGGTGATGTGGATACAAACCAAGCTTAGCTATATAAACTCACTTCACGTTGGTCCATCGTTGCCCAGCTGGACTAGCTTCTCCAGTGGTCTAAACCAAGTAAATGAACTGGATAGCAGGTTTTTCAGGTTCCAAAAATCGCTCAGCTGTCGCAACCTTTCGGTGCCTAACTGCCACCCGAAGGTTGCATTAGGGCTGGGATACTGCCATTTTGTCCAAGCCTAGACAGGAGAAGTTGAGAGGCAGAGGTCGGGTTCGAACGATGGACCTTTCGGTCATTAAATTCGCGCTCTAACCACATGGGCCATCTCTCCCCAGGTTCAGCAACCATCACATTTTTCGAGTAAAAGTCACCCTACTAACAAAGTGTGATAGTAGTATGAAGGCAAAGACAATCTACTCGTGAACCAGTACCATAGAAATACAAGTTACAACATTCAGGTTACAAACTTACGACAGCACGACCGATGACGGTCGAAGTCGTTCACTGGCTATGCTACTTTGACGCGGTTTCATCACCAGAAACAGTTGGTCGTTGGGGCACATGGTGTAGCAGAGCAAACCAAAATTACAACTGGATATGCTCACGATCAGTCGTTGTGGGCTACAGTAGGTACAAGACCATGTGGAGACAGTTGGATTGCTTCTTCCAGCCGCGTGTGTCACGTGTTGTCTCTGATTGGATGTCCAAATCGATCTTCGTTTGATAGTCCGTAGTAGAACAGCTCGGTCGCCCAAAAAGACTGAAAATAATGCATTAAAAAGTATTTGTTTAGGGGTGTGTTGTTATCGCTGATTTTTGGCAGTTTTGAACCAAAAATGTCGATCACATTGTTGCGATTTGTTCTAGTATCCTGTACCCTATTTTATCATATCAGTTGCCGCATACACAGTACCCCTCTCATTCAAACATCTCTGACGAAGTGTCAATCAGTTACCACGAAAACGGGAGTTTTTTTTATCAAGATTCACATCTGCAGAATGGATGTCTTTCAAAGTGATTGCAGGATAACAAATTGCGTTTAGTCAAGAGCAACAACCGCGAAATAGTCTTTTGAGCATTCATCTCAATAACAAGTACGCAACGTTGATGTGAACACTGCTCATTGGATCGATGTAGTCGTGATTCTGTAGTACACGCGAGCGGATTTCCAATCAGGGTAACCCTCATCTGTATTCGTATGTGGGCTTCGTCAGAGGCCTTGTCACCCAAACCAACAGCTTTAGAGTGATAAGATATTTGTCAACGATTCATTACGTTGTATGAATACTAACCCTTAACTACGTTTTTAGGATACAGCGTTCAGTCAGTCGTAGGTAGACCCTGTCAGATCGATATACCAAGGTCTGTCATATGACGTACCTTCTCACTCTTTGATGGCGTCCCAACATTCTCGTAGCTTGACTTTGAATATTTTGCACGTCAACAAGTAGCAGTTGGTTGCGCTTTTTATGAAAATGTATATCTTATTTTACTCGTATTATTGCCATGAACTTCTTCACGTGACTCATTTTGCATCCCTTCGAAGGCCAGTTGCTAACCTTGGTAAGAACGAACGTTTTCTCTTGTGAAGAAAAGTTTATTTCTCATTCTTGTACTTGAAATGAGAAGACTGATCCGCGTGCCATTCATTCGAACCTATCGCGCGCCGAAAATAGATGCCAACCAATCATGAGCATCGACTGACCATGTTGAGCCAAGGACAAACCACTTTCTTCTAAACCGAACAGTATTCAGATACCTGGGGTATCAGACTATGTCTGAGCAGACTCACTTAACGTAACTAAAGTCCTCTTATTATAGTGAGTCCTCACCAGAGGTGGGGGTTGAGCACTGGACTCGAGTTTCGCTCCTATGAGAGACCGTGCAAGCGTTTGAACTCCAGACGTCTGACCCACGATGCCGGCGTGTTACCGCTACTCCACCAGTGCATGCTGACTGCCCATGAACAGGCGAACGTGTTCACGCTTGGGTACTATGACCGGTTTGGCAGCCATGCGAATAATTGCGCCAAGAGTGACGTGAACGCGAATTTGATTTTAGTTACTCACGCTTTTACAAGTAGTCAAACATCTAAATAATCGTGTGTGATCAATCCCGATCACCGGGCTTCACTCCACTTTCTATCGCGTTGAGGGTTCGTCATTTAGGAAAAAAATAGTAACCAGTATAAGGTTGACCACAGTAATACTTTTTCTCACTTTGAAGACAGTCAATTATTGGAGGTTTGTAGCCTTTTTCCATCATTATTTCTAAGGAACACAGACGCGACGCAAGGACTAATGGCCCCCACTTCAGTTAACTCTGGTAGATTCTATGAAGCCTGGGTGACGCGGGTACAAGAGCAGTGCGCAGGTGTTTTGTACCTCTTGTATTCAAGAAGTTCACGTTGAATAACGCTCAAAACCGAGGTCATCCATAAAGTGCTGTACTACACTACGATAGTACCAACTTTAAATTGTAAGGACCCCCAATCAGAACTGGGGCTAAAATGACGATGAGAAAACACATTTAAGAGCAAAAAAGACGACCCAGAGACATCATCCAGGAACTGAAGAGCTTGTTAAACAATCGGTAGTTTTTATCTGGGCAACGTTTCGCGTTTGACACTAAACAGGGAATGGATCGGGACTGCTGTTATTCCATATAAACCAGGGACATTGGAGGTAATTCGAATAATTCTAAACACGGCTAATATAAGAGTAGCTTTCCAGAGAAGGGACACTCTGCGCTCTGCACTCGTACAATTGAAGGATCGCCTGCCGGCAAACAGAACCAAGGACTTTGTCCACAAAATTAAGTGAAACGACTGCGCCAAGGTCTATATAGGACAGACAACCAGGAAACTACAAATCAGAGTCGGAGAGCATAGTAGAAAAATAAACAGGCCGCCGAGAAACGCTGATGAATATCAAGCGTTACTGAAAACCTCGGCAATCGCGGAACGCGCACTGGACACAAAATAGACTTGGAAAATGTTGAGGTTTTGAGGTTCTGGATCAGTCGAGCTGACACATGTTGGTGTGCGGTCATCATCTGGATTCCACTTAACCTTAAGCACCTCCTCTGCCCCCAACTTAATTGTCGCAACATTCACATGCCCACGAAGATCAAGGAAAATCTACCAGTGACACCCAAGTTAAATCACCAAGTGAAGCACTCTGAAATGGAAGAATAAGGAACAAAAAGTGACCGGAACTAATTTGAAACTCTTCCAACCCATCAATTCAAGATTCTTGCAACCACACTAGTCGACAAGAGCCGTTAATTGACACTCAACACTGATCTAGTTTGAAGAGGACTTACTGATTGGTTCCCCGTCTGTCTTATAACCTGGCCAATTTGGCGACCTGTTCACTTGGTCTGAAGAAGCTTTCGTGTCAAAAGTGAAACGTTACCCAAATAAAAACTGTCGATTGTTTACCAATCTGTGGTATCTGCTGCTGACCAGAAAAAGGGTGGAACCCCTACAACTTCATCCGCGTCGAAAATCTTATGTTGAACAGTCAAAAGCGGGAGGTATCAGGAATGTCAGATTCCTGAAAGCAATTTCAGAACGCCCAGAACCTACTGCTCCACCAAAAACGCAACAGGAAAGCCGGCAAGCGTCCAGGCCAGTCAATCATTCAATCAATTCAGCGAAACCTGATGAGTGTTCTTGCGCGCCACAAAAGCACGACCGAATGTGATCAGCGTTCAGGCTTTTCACAGAGGCACGATCGATGTTGATGAGTGTTCAGACAGCCTGGATCAATGTCAGAAAGTCCCCTTTAAATAGCGTGGGGCCGTTGTAACTTTTGCTCTCACACGCACTCACTCGCTTGTTCGGAATACAGCTGTTGTGTTCCCTCCTGTTAGTCTTTTCTCTCCGACACTAGGCACTGGAGCGGGTCAGCAGCAGATACCACAGATTGGCGAATCAGCAGATATAACAACCAAGCTCTTCTGAAACGATGACTTATCAATCGGTTCCAGACTTTTTCCTCTTGGTAGATCAGTAACTGGAGCAGGCACGAACAATCAAGAATGGTTGTGAAATTTCAAACGATCATCACATTCATCAGTGAAATTCGAGTTAAATAATGGCTGATATGGTTCTGGTGGGTAGTTGAGAAGCGCCGTACAACTGTTTCACTCTCCGTTGGAAATTTTCAATGAGGCCTGTTCGACAAGCTTGTATCGTTTAGCTGTGGCACGCTATCAGTGCCTAGCTGCCATGCCACCCAAAGAAGGCACGAGGGCTGGGATACTGCCAAGTTGCCCAAGTCTAGACAAGGGAAGTCCAGAAGCAGAGGTCGGGTTCGAACCACGGACCTTCCGGCCAGTGAATTCGCGCTCTAACCACTTGGTTCGACAAAATTGAGATGAACTTGAACCCAAAACCCTAGTGACAAGGGATTGAATGCTTCTTTGAGTTGACTATGAGTGGAGCTTATCAGCAACGTGACTAGACTACATTCGAATATAATATGACCCCCTCGTTTTATCGCAGAGTAGACTTCAGGTGCGCTGATCTAATAGGTGATAAATCCCTTTCGACGCGGGTCACATAAAGTCTGTTGGATCTGAGGCCTTGCATCCTGGAGGCTACATCTCAGATCTCTCCCACAGCCTCAGGAGATGCGCCATGTTGATTATTCTCAAGAACAAAACCGCTCCACAGTTTCGTCCCGTTAGTCACCTGCTCATCTATAGCTGTTGTGGACCGCAGTCTCTTTAATGTCTTCTTATTACCGTGAACCCCGGAATGGAAAGCCGATTGATCGCCTGGTGTGGTTAGCCAAACTTGAAAAAGTCCACGAACGTGCGAACCGGCTGGTCCATTGATCACTGTCGCGTACAAGCGGGTCAAAAAAGTGATACTAAGACTAAAACTCATCTGTCAAGGACGAGTGAAGAACATCCAATGAAATCTGTCTCAACGAAAACGGTTATTCCATTGGCTGTTACGTTCGGAGCTGGTTCTCCCAATAATAGCCTAAATCAGACACCTATTCAGTGGTATTGCAACCATGGTTTCTTGTTCCATGGCTTAAAAAGGGTGTACCAATGGCATTAGAGGAAGCAGAGGTACCAACTGGGTTTCCTATCAAAACAGACATATTTCTAGGCGAACAGTTCCTCCTAGTTAGAGTGTGTCCAGCCCTTATTGCTCAGAACATCAAAGTAGCTGCGATATGGTCGGTCGTTCTACACTCACTGCGTTAGGTGACTTGTCCATCTAGTTCGATCTACCCGCATGTGTACATGGCATAGACGTAATCCACTACTCATAAGATTGTTGAAGAGTAGTATATGAATAGTATATTATGACATCAATTAGGCTTTTAGGCTGTTAATCGAAAAACGGGAATGCGGACCACTTTCCGGAGAAGACAATGCGTTTCCAGTGAGTGCATTCTAAGGATAGAAACTAAACGAGCGAATTCGCATCGCGCCCGAGTTTTGCCAGGTACTGTTAGGCGGAATTCCACACGGATTCCGCTTTACCGCTCGCGGTCCGGTGCTGCTACGGCCGAGAAGCACATCCGACGCAAGATTGGCCAAAAATTTGGGACGCTCGCCGGTCCGGCGTCAAGCCGAGATCTGATTCGTCGAAAGTCTGGACCCAACAGCCAATCACGACCCATCATTGGTCGAATGCCGGTTGCCAATGCCGCATCTAGAACGCGTCAGAATTTCCAGAAAGTCATTACGCTATATATATGAAGTGCTGTACAAATGTTCCTGACTTCATTTTGGGCGTTAATATACCTTGTGCGCCTTTGGTGGTTGTTTTGACGTGAAAGCTAGCTTGGGAGGCTCGAACCGAGAACTAAGCTGGGAAAAATACCGTTACTACGTGTGCGAACTGCTGAGGCTTTCCAATAAGAATTTCTGCAGACTGACTTCACTTAAAGGATAAAATATATCGATTAAAACGTCGAATTTCTTCACAATTCCAGGGGTATGAAAGGAGGTGGTTGTGTATGGATCATTCGGTGAAATGAATTGCAATCCGTTCGACTCTGCCAAATGTCTAGCCACTCATCTCTCTTTTCATTTATCTACTTCTCTGTTTCGAACTCGCTCAACCACACACACGTGAATTTTCACGTGACAATTCGATTTTTTCCCTCTAGCAGGTTGGTGATGAGATTCGCATCATTACAGGAGAATTAGTACCACAACCCGTTCGCCGTAAAAGGGGGAGTCTGTTTTTCATTCTGATGGAATTCTCAAGGTTCCGGTTCCGAATGAGCTAGCCCCATCGTCCCATGAATTTTACCTCCTCGCCGGTTCGCCAACTCCGACCGGTTTCAAAAGTGGACTGAAAAATTCACAAAAGGATAAGATGTACTTCACCTAGTGTGTCTGCTTTTTTGAGTGCCATTCAGGCACTGATTCTAAGGTCCATGGTGCGGCCCTATTTGGAAGCTTTTCCCGGTTGAACAGCTACCACATGTAGGTCAAGAGAATTCGTCCAATCAGAGTTTGTCTTCGACTGATGATGATCATGTACGGCAGTATATACTGGTGAATGATGAGTGAGAAAGAGAGTGTCTTTCGGGGTGCGCTGGTGCCATGCACCACGGAAGAGGGATCATGTACGCAGTATATACTGGTGAATGATGAGTGAGAAAGAGAGTGTCTTTCGGGGTGCGCTGGTGCCATGCACCACGGAAGAGGGCTGACATTCGGTCAGTTCTGTCTAGCATAGACAGGAGCAACCGTAGAGCCACGGTAGGATTCGAACGACGGAGGTCTCGGCCAGTGGTTCCACGCCGTAACCGCAGAGCCATCTCGAGCTCATGGAGGATGATGGTGCACTTTACCTTTCCGAAGCTTGGTTCGCTTGCCAAACGCAAACGATTCCATGGAATAAAGTAACAGGTATGGTTGACTCGGATTAACCCAACAGAGCTGCAATTTCCAGTAATTTGAGTGATCACTAAATGCGGGGTTTACCAAGTGCCTCACCATCTCAGCTCACCTGGGATACCAAGGGATAAAAGAATATTCACCTCCGAATCGATCTTGTCCAAAAAGCTCTCCTCCGTCCTGGAGCTATTATCCTGTTGAGGTCACACCAAAGAGGCTAAAGGCTCAATATTTTGCTCTTGTTAGCCCTGCATAGCACTGCATATTCTTGGCCGTGCCGCGGTGTGAACTTTGGACATCTGACATGTGTGTTACAACGAATCGATATACGTGAATCCTCACGTCTGCACGGAGGAAGGTGTCCACACTTCAGCGATGTTTTGCCCAACGCTGTGGGTCGTTAGTTATCAGGAGTTCACATCCTGGGAGGGTCTAGAATACTCACAGCTGGTGAAATCGCTCAGATCTAGCACCATTTCAGTGCCTAACTGCCACACCACCTGAAGGAAGCTCGAGGTCTTGGATACTGCTCAAGTCTAGACAGGGGAAGTCCAGAGGAGGAGGTCGGGTTAGAACCACGGATCTTCCGGTCAGTAAATTCGCGCTCTAACCACTAAGCCATCTCGCCTTGGTGAGTTCTGCTAAGGTCACACCTCATATCTAGTGTCCACTCCCGACCGTGATACTAACAAACCAAAATATTTGTGCCAGGACAGAAGGAGAACCATTCAACGAGAGTGAGGGTAGTCTTGATTATTGATTATTTAACCATTCACGACTTGTCATTTAACGCCCACATCAAAATGCCGTCACACACCTCTAGCAGACTAGCTGAAGTCTTCTTGAATGAAACATATCACAAAGACTAACTTTAACCAATTCTCTCACCGTGGACGCCAGGCTCTCAGCTTGTTTCACCGGGATCTCCGTCGTTCAACCTCTCCTGCAGTGGCGATTCCACGGAAGTGGATCCAACAAGTGGAGGAGGCAATATAACTTAGCTTGAAGGTGACATCGCCTCGAGGAAGAAATTATTACAGGCTACAGCTGACACGGAAAACTGTTTTTAACTATCCAGTAAGGGGTGACTTATTCTTGGAGGTGGGAGCTATCCATAGGTACAAGTACGAAGGACCTAGGAGGGTTTCTCATATCCGTCAGCCTAGAACAATTGCGTTTTGTGCTCAAGGATTAATTCAAACAGTATTCAGGGTTGAAACATAGTGGGCTGTATACTATGAAATGTCTAAATTTTGCTGTAACACACTACCTGTTAGGTTGCTGAAAACCCGTTGACGGCTAACCTTGGGTTTCACCTGGTAAAGGCGATCCCCAAGTTTTCATGAACCTTCATTTCCACATTCTTCACAGTTAGTGAAGCACACTCATTTGAAACTGAAGTAAGATGCAGTCTTCGTGGAACATATTCAGTTGAAGACTACCGTAAAATAGGGATTTCAGTAGCCTCATGAGTAGTATGTTCTGTCCCGAAAATATAAATCCTGAAACAGTTCTTTTGCAACACACTTAGCTGAAGGAAAACACAAACGATGCAGATGGGATTCTGTCAAGCCTCTTATTCACACCAATTTAATTAGCAAATGAGAGTATTTGGACAGATCTTACTTGGCAAACATCTTTAAGAGGCGTGATCAGTTGAGACAAACTAAGCGAGTTTTAAGGCCCACTTGGAGGAACAGTTTAGCCCAAAACCTGTTACCTGTCACTTAGTTGATAAAGTCGAGATGCCCCAAGTGGTTAGAGAGCGAATCTACTGACCGGAAGGTCCATGGTTCGAGCCTGACCTCTGCCCTTCGACTTATCCTCTCTAGACTTAGGCAACCTGATAGTATCCCAGCCCCCGTGCTCCCTTCGGGTGGCATAGCAGCCAGGCATCTTGAATACCATCCTGTTGAAGTCTGCAGGCACAAAAGCAGTCAATTCCAGCCACAGAACAGTTGAGCATCCTGTACTGTGGTAAAAAAACATCGTTATACAGTTCGAAGCATATGCGACTTCTTGCGATAGGTCTGCGGCGTAAGATCATGTGACCACCTTGATGCTGAGGTTGCCAGAACAGATGTTGAAAAAAGGACGCTGGGCAAATTAATTTACTGTAAATGCTGATAACTGTCTGCCTCTGTTCTTAGAGTGCTTTGCACGACACAGTTGAGAGATGTGTACAGTGTACTACTAACCAGAAGTGACTCTAGGCGTCCCCTTTTTTCCGGTACCTTAGACAAGTAGCTAACAGTGCTCAGCACACATGCGTGTACGTTGCCTTGACACGTACCGGTTTTCAACAATTACCACTGCTCTGTCATCGATGTGTGAGTGAGACTTACCTTAGAATCTGTGAAAATTTTATTTAGTCTGTAGAAAATGACTCAAAACGTGCAATGCTAGAGTGATCCGTCTCCAAAATCCCATTTGCCAGCCGAACTCACTCTCCTCCATCAAGTACATATTATCTGAGCGTTTTTCTTACACCTTGGAGAAAGTAACTTTCAGAAATTTTGCACAAAGCTTTGCTTGCGATCACAAAAGTTCACAATAATATCAAATCAGCTTAGTTCTAAAGTAATTTCCGGCTAAAAGTGACCGCAGTCAGTTGGTCTAGCGTAAGACTCAAAGACACGTGACAACATCTGATTTTTCGAAAGCCACCTCGGATAATAAAACCACTCACTTTCAACCTTGGAGGTCATCGAACGGGGAATGAATCGGGACTCCTGTTCACACATTGTTCACACACATCCGGCCACAGCAGCAAGATTTATTCCATTCTGCGAGCCAATCACACGGAACATCTTTCTCCTGACTGTATTTCGCCCGATTAAAGTTATCGCTCTCTCTCTCTCTTTGTTTGCTGTGTTTTTGCACATGGGTGTGCGTTCTTTAACTTGAAGTGGTCCTGTCAGCTCTCATCAGTTTTCACCATGCGGTCGGTGTGTGGTGGGCGTTCAAGTTTGATTTTTCTACAACTGTGTCGATTGTACGAAGGAATTCGCCAGGAACAGAGGCAGACACCCCGACACATACGAGCAAAGCAAACAATTGTGACAGTGCGCCTGGTTAGGTTGAGCGACGTGTCGAGTTCACTGACCTGGAATCAGTCTATTATGTTCAATCGTCTTTACGAACAAGTGCTCGCAGTAGACTTGCAATGGCGGACACACAGCATGCACGCAGACACGCACGCACAAACGCACGCACGAACGCACGTACGCACACAGTGCGTGTGATTCAACGGAGGCGGAAGAGATTGGCTCGTCCCGGTTGTGACAAGGATGACTCAACCTCGCCCGGCGGAACAGCACATGACAGCAGGCATTGAAACATCCTCCTTTCATGTCGTTAACTCGGCTGCCGAGTGTATCGGATTTCGTTTCAGTTTCGCGCAGACACAGTCAGTTTATTCCGCGGCTTGGTTTTATCACACTCACACTCACTACACACATACCACAACTCTGCCCGGAAATCATGACCCATCGAAAAATCGTGTTATGCCTGACCAAATCATCGCACCAGAACAGTGTGTGTGTGTGAGAGAGAGAGTGTGTGATGGAGGGGTGGTGAGGAGTGGGCAAGGACGAAACGGAAATCTTCTGGGTTTGTGATGTGCCTACCGCGAAAAAAAATGCTGCGACCATTTATGTTATCATTAACAGGCGGAATGGAAGGGAATGTTTATAGTGGGGCGGGGGGGCACATGAAGAACAGACAAGTGACCCTCTGAACGTGACCCAGTTTTTGTCCATAATGAAGAAAATTGCGTTGGAGATGAGTAATTAACTCGAAGATGCGAATGGGGTGAAGTGAATTGGCCAGCGAACCGAAGAAATTGTGACTGGATTGGAAATCATTGTGAACTGGATGTGGAACGTGTGGATATACATGCGAATAAAAGGATGCGTAACTTTTTGGTTGATTGCTCGACAGAGTCGGTTTTCGGGTCATTGAATTCTCCTATTCCCACTGTTCTAGTGACCCTTCCCAAACGAGGTTACAGGAGGCCATGAACAATCTGACTCGTGTGGGTCTTGATCGCGACAGGGTAGTTTCACGCCTCATAAGTGCTGGAATAACGGCGATACTACTGATGGGGGGCACGCGAGTAGTATGTGTTGTTCGTGGGGTTTCGCTTTGCGTCTCTTGAAAAGGGGAGATCTGTTGCGGAATTTGTGGAGCCACTTTTTAACATTTGCTTGAATTTGAGCTAGGAATGATTGGAGTCAATGAATATCCAGGAAAGCTCAAGGAGACGCGTTCAGGAAAATATGGATATCCAGTTTTTTGTAAATGAGATGCAAATGAGAGTTTTGCATTCCTGTCCAATGGTCCGTAGCCAGTCACTTGCAATTTTCAAATAGATAACTCCGCAGCGAAGGCCTTCTCCCTTTCACTGGTACTGAGCAAAACAGCGCTTCAGGCATTCAGACCTGAAATCAGAAACGAACTACGGCCCTGAAGTAGATGCCTTCTGGCCGGCAGATCGATACTACACCATTCGCGTACTGGCGACTGATCCGCACTGTGAATAGTTCTCACATACGCGCTCAACCCCATTGATTGCTCACGTGATGAATGAGTCATTCGGTGACGACGTCTCAGATACGAAACCTTGTGGAATTTTTTCCTTCTCACTAGACTGCTTGTCTTTAGGAGTTCACAACCCCCCGGAGGTTCGCGAGGTGCCCAACAGGGATGGAAAAAACGGAGCCTCTCAGTTTCTCATTATAAATCTACTTCGCCGGCGTGCCTAATTCGGACTTATAACTTTAGAATCTTCACGCTACGTACAAACTACAGTGTCAATTCAAGTGTAAAACCTAAATTCGTTTTGATAGACCGACATTTCACATGTCCTCATCCTCAGCCGGTTCATTTACGACGGAACGCTATCCGGCAGTGGCGCCGTCTATCTGGCTGATGCCAGTATGCTCCTCTTTACCGATGCCAAACTCAGACGGAATTGTTCCAGTCCAGTCGAACCTCGTTGGCCATACTAAAGACTGCATGTCATGCGATTAGTAAACAAACGTTCCCACCGGATACCATCAACGCCGGTGTTCAAATCGTTGCTGGTGAGAAGGCAGACGACATTGTCCTCATCTTTGAAGATAAAAGACAGACACAAGTGCCGCCATTTTTGGGCATGCGTCTTGCACCTTCAAAGTGTTAAGTCATGCTTCAGAACGTACAGTCTCTGGGCAGGCCAATTACGAATTGAGGAGAGTCATTTAGCAGTTGTAGACAACTTCACATACGTCGTGTTTGTTCTGACGAAGTCAGTCAAAGAGCCGAATCCTGTTGGCTAATTTGCAGTCAGAAAGGCAAAGAGTTGTGCTGTGTTGCTGTATGGTTGCGAGACTTGGCCTCTGAGGACATATGATTTGAGGCATCTCCAAGTTTTTGACCACCGATGCCTCAGAAGCGTTGCTGGTTTTGGATGGCGTCAACGAATTCGTCAGTCAAGGAAAACACATGAACTGCAGAAGAGTATGAAGAAAGTGACAGAGAAGGTTGTTGTTACTGATGTGGTCAGCCTTCTCCGTGAGCATCCCCTGTGCCTACCTGATGAGCCCCAAGAAGGGCGAACCACGTCGTGGGCCGTAGAAGCGATTTCAACAACCTTATGAGTAATATATTACATCTATACATAATTAAATTAACTTTGTGGTCTAACTGAAGTGAAGCAACAATGATGATGATGTTGCTGATGATGACGGTGATGATGATGATGATGATGATGATGTTGATGATGATGATGATGATGATGATGATGATGATGATGATATCTGGCCAAGAATAATCCTCGACTCACTCTGAAGATGATGGGTAGTCGAAAACGTTGCAGTTGAGAGCGACAGACCAGCTCGCAGGCGTTCAAAATAGCACCAAGGCCTTTTGTAATACGTAAATGCACAGTCCATAACTGTCATGGAAATCTGTAGCTAATCGATGAGGGTCACAAATTTGCATGAAAAGGTCCATTTTTCGGTATCTTTGCCTCCAAATGAACTCACACAAGTGGCTGTCCATTAAAGATCGGTGTGTGCCGCATTGGCGTTTATTCTGCATCCTGTAGACGTGCCAAAGAGATTCAGGGATTTGTGTGTGAGCTCCGATCGTCGGATCCACAAAGTTCTCCGTATGATTAACCGTTTCATGAGTACGATTCATGTCAATCATCGTTTCAACTCCTTGGTATTATGCCCACATATCGAAGATGATGATTGAGCCGGGAGCGATGCAGGCCTGGATTGTGTCCATCAAAGTGACCGCAGTTCGATCTGGCACTGCATTGCATAAACGTTGCTGATGGATCACTCGGGGCTTTGCAAAAAACGTATTGCCATCTCCTTGTCATGAACGAGAGTTGAAAGCGTCAGAAAGTTCATTCAGGGTCATACGAAGGTCCGAACGGAGAAAACGTTTTCCAAAAATGAGCCTAGATGCGGATAAGGAATTATTTTCATCAAGAGTAGGTCATGGTTGTGTGCGTACGTTAAATTGAATCTGGCAAAAAGTGGGGGGGGGGATTAACTTTTCGCACATGCACTAGTGGCGGGGCTTATCTTAGAAAGATCCGGATGCCCTTTCTCTGAGGATGAAAACGGCGATCGAAACGGAATCATTGCATCTTGTTAGACGCCGTGGGCTGGCACTGATGTTTACACACCTAAATTAGGTGTGCACGCAGTCCACCTGACTGATAGGCGGAATCGCGATCAGGATAGTAACACGTACTCAGTTCTCCAACGGAGGAGTCGTAGTGGGGTCGAAGAGGCTTATTTCTGGATCTGAGCGCCTGTCCGGTTTCACGGTGCGCGTTACACGCCCCAACAATAAATACAGAAAAATGACAAAGCAGACAAGAGCGGACGTGAAATGGTTGAAAAAACAGTCGGGATGTGCCAGTAGTCAGAATTACAGCATCTCTGAATTCCTCCTGTGGGGTCCCCTGGTTCTATTTGACGACACATTGGTGCTTTCTCCGGTGTGTTAGTCATCCTAGTTTGAAGGATGTTCCACCATACACCTGACTAATAGCCGAAGATGAGTTTAATGGAAAAACGAGTAGTCACGTGAGAGTTGGGATTACAGAACGCTCAAAGTCAGTTCAATTTCGTTGTCTGAGAAACGAACAAGCTTTCAGTAGACTGTTTTCAATTAAAGGAGAAATGTTTAAGACCGACTGAGTACTGCACGTTTCAGAGAGGTTTGATCATTTTGCCGATTGTGCCCGTGATTTAGGTCATCTCACTGCATCAATTTGATTAAAATGAAATGTGCGTGAGGCCATTACTTTGACAAAGTCGAAACCAAATAAGTGACTAAATTTTAACCGATTAGGACCTCTCAACCGATGGATATGGGGGCGCTCCCTACGACGTTAATGTGGCACAGACAGACAGACAGACAGACAGACAGACAGACAGACAGACAGACAGACAGACAGACAGACAGACAGACAGACAGACAGACAGACAGACAGACAGACAGACAGACAGACAGACAGACAGACAGACAGACAGACAGACAGACAGACAGACAGACAGACAGACAGACAGACAGACAGACAGACAGACAGACAGACAGACAGACAGACAGACAGACAGACAGACAGACAGACAGACAGACAGACAGACAGACAGACAGACAGACAGACAGACAGACAGACAGACAGACAGACAGACAGACAGACAGACAGACAGACAGACAGACAGACAGACAGACAGACAGACAGACAGACAGACAGACAGACAGACAGACAGACAGACAGACAGACAGACAGACAGACAGACAGACAGACAGACAGACAGACAGACAGACAGACAGACAGACAGACAGACAGACAGACAGACAGACAGACAGACAGACAGACAGACAGACAGACAGACAGACAGACAGACAGACAGACAGACAGACAGACAGACAGACAGACAGACAGACAGACAGACAGACAGACAGACAGACAGACAGACAGACAGACAGACAGACATAGTTGTTCAACAATATCGACCGCTTTAAAAAGTTGTTCAACTGATCTGAGCCTCAGCATGCCGTTTAGCCAAGTTTCCAAGACATCATTTACTTCAAAAGTCTAGCATCATGCCACAAGGTTTCTAGCACAGTGCTCTCTGGTTTCATACCAGAATTCCCCCGTTGTGCCATTGACAATGCGTTAGAATATCGATTAGTTGTTCAGATGACTACTGGTCTGCTTTCCAAGCTTGGTAATGAACTTGCAAGAGTTTTCTCACCATTCAAGGAGACATCATCAGTGATCCGCCCAATCACGCACTAACGTGTGGCCTTCGCTTAATCAGCTATTGCTTCGGAAAGATCAAAGAATGTCCCGTGACGTCAGAGAGCAAATTTTGGTCACAAAGATACGAATTATGAACTACGAAGTTTCTCCTTCCTTGGCAAATATACAGAAATGGAACATCTTGTCTAGCTTCAGTCTTACAAGGACAGCGATTGACGACTGCTTTGTGGAAACTAAGTTCCATCAATGACACAGTTCACGAAAGATGTCACGCAGCTGCGGATACATTTCGCAAGGCGTTTCCAAGTACCACATCAGACCTTCCTAGTTTACTGAGAGCTTGATTCGACAGACTGTGAATTAAAAACAACATCCATGTCTTAGACAAACCAAGAACATCATGTCTCATCACACAGAAAGGTATCAAGATACAACTGACGGTTCACTTTTGTTGAGAAGGTCATCCATATATCACGTGCTATCTTCCTGCTGGAGCAATCAGTCGACCGCCCGGTTGTAGTAATGGGTTTTATGTGACCCCACAACAGCGCATTCTGGAGTACTTCACAAAGTAGCAGCGTTTTGGTGTAACAAATCACCTTAAGAGGCACTCTGAAAGATTTGATAGCAAAGTTCTCCGGAATATTTACAATGCACGTGATAGTAAAACAACTCCTGGCTTTTTGGTCAGCAAAATGTGAATTAATTAGAAAAAACTTGAGGCTAAAGTGGGATTTTTTGCTTGTACAGTTGTTAGCCTCCTAACAGGACAGCTGATGGAAAGGAAATCATTTTTCAGCCTTGTATGACGACGGGTGTAACAGTGGATACTACTAATGAGGTATGCGAGTAGAGTCCTCTCATAAATCTGCTTCGCGTCTCTTGAAAAGTGAGATCTATTGCGGAATTTGTGGAGTCACTTTGTAGCACTTGCTTACATTTGAGTAATAGTCAATGAGTATCCAGGACAATTCAGAAAGATATATTCAAGGAAAAGACGTTTATTCAGCTTTGTAAACAGGATGCATATGAGAGTTCTTCTCTCCTGTCCTGTTCAGTTGGTGTTTCTTTAATAAACAACTCCTCAGCAATGGTCCTCCTCCTTTCGCGGGTATGGCCATTATTATTTCATGTTGTATTTTAACTACTCACAAGTAGTTCGGCAATTGCTGCGGTAAAACCGACCAGCAGCCGGTAGCTGATTAATGGAACCGGAAACCGGCGGTCTAACGGTGGTTAACACTGGATAATATGAAGCCACATACTCAGTTACTTTTTTCTATGGTTCTCGGCTCTACTTTACAACGAAACATACGGTTCGAGGCCGTCCATAAAGTGACTTTCTTGATCATTTGTTGAACTTCAGTAGGGAAGTTAACTTGGGTGTCAACTTCTGCTAGGGATCATGGCTACCTGAACATATCGAGTGGGAGGATCGAGTTGACAACTGTTCTGATTCGTATCCTATGTGTACTTTAGACAAACAGAGAAATCCAGGGCTCTATCTTGGGCGCAGGTGGGCTCAACTCCGATGGTAGGCGGGAGCACCAGGGATCCCTGGGATATATAGCTATATCCCGATGGCTTCCTGATTTTCCTGGGCCCTATCCAGTCACGCAGTGAGATTCGTTAACATCAAAAAGCGAGATTTTCTGGTTGGAATGTCACAGAAAAATAGGGGGAATCCTCAACTTTTGTTGCTTGGGCCCCTCCTTGTTTCAAATGGGCGAATACTTGATTGAATGTCCCGTTTCCATACAAACATTAGTGGGATTTGAATATCTTGGGAACTCATGTATGGATGTACCACAGAAGTTCAGCTTTCGGCCGTTTTTGACTCCTGCACTTTCCATCAACTGATGTCCCACACGAAAATTCCGCAACAGCACTGGTGTATTTTGTTCGAATTTACTTATTGTCAGGAAATACAGGTACGCTCATTCATTGCCCTAACCATGTCGGAAAAATGGTCACAGTCGAGATATTTATCCAAGAAACAGTGTGTTTGTAGCTGAATTTGCACTGCGCGCCCCTGGATTATGTGCGACCTTGATGCATGTGACTAAAATTTTTTGACACAAATTTTCGGCACAGCGTTGTACCGCGTTTCGATTGCATGCGCCGGTGGCATTACAGCACAGCCCGGACTATTTCGTTTGTGCTCAGTCATCCTACCTCCCAGTAAGCAACCCGTTCTGGCCGGCTCCAGTTTTGATTCCCAAAGTTGTGGCAGATCAGAATGGTATGGTTCGGACATTAAGTTCTGCAACTGCGTCTGGTTTCCGCAGACTGGTCCCACCCATCCTTTAGCAAGTACCCTCCCATAATCGTGGGTTGCTTGATCGATAACGTGCACGCTTGAAAGATACACACAGCTCCTCTTATTCTCCCCTACGGTTTGTGAATCGAAAAGGGGGGCCGCCCGACGTGGGGCTCGAACCCACGACCCTGGGATTAAGAGTCCCATGCTCTACCGACTGAGCTAGCCGGGCACGGGAGTGGCCATAGAGGAATTATGATTAAATATTCCACAAATTTTGGTGAGCAAATTTAATTTGGGGTAATGTCGGGTAACGTTAGTTCACAGGGTCCTAAATTCACGACATATGACGCCATCTTTCGCCTAATTTCATCAATCTGAAATTCCCTGGTACCCCTATACGCAACAAAATTTTACGGTAACAATTCTGACCGGAAACATACTTCAGCACCAGCCACTCAACCCATAAACTTCGAAAAAAATACTGTGGGCTCATTAAGATCGACTCGAAAACTTCCTGTGCAAATTCCCCGTATAATTCTAGTTACTCGAGTCACACTAGATCATTCTTTCGGGTTCTGGCGGCAATTTTTAGTATTCAACTGCAATCGACTAATTTGCCTCGCTATTAAACTAGGCATTCTGTTCCACTTGAACCCTAGTTGCACGAAATCAGCGAATTACACTCGTTTTCATACCATTTTGGTTTTGACAGGACACCCAAGTGGAACCCCGATAAATCCCTCGTTTATGATGGATTCAGTTGATTCTCCTAACCAAATCAAATCGTGCGCAAATGAGAGTATCCATCCTTGTTGGACAAGCGTATCAAGGAGAACAGACCGGTCAACCGAGTCGAATGCTTCTTGGAGTTGTGGACTACAGTCTCCTTAATGCCTTCTTATTACGGTCAACCCCGGTCTGGATAGCCGCTTGATCGCCTTGCGCGCTTGGCCAAACCAGAAAAGTCAATAAACGTGTGAACCGGCTGATCTATTGATCACTGTCGTGTACAAGCGAGTAAAAAAAAGCGGTACTAAGAATACAACTCATCTGTCAAGGACGAGTGAAGAACAACCAATGAAATCTGTCTCGAAAAACGGTATTCCATTGGCTGTTACGTTCGGAACCGGGTTCCCTAATACTTGGAACCCCAGGAATCCTAGAATTGTGGGTCGTCCTTTGGACACGCTGCACAACACTTTTTGGGGCAAAAACTGGATGGTTCAGGCACGCACACGAATTTTCCCTCAGTGCATTGCCAGAAGTCATAGGTGTGTCATTAGCACACGCTGAGGACTGCGATGCTGTGCGATCGAATGCAGATCTTCACTGCTGGGTAACCGTACAGTGTTATCGTCCCATCGGATGTCCCACCGGTTGATGTCTATCCATTATACCTGCATCATCACCAAGCAGCCGTTCTTGCTACTTCCGGCGCCCCTCCTTCAGATCACCGTTGGGCACCACATATCCTCATTATGGTGAAACATCCACCCGGACGTCGGGAGGTAGAACGCGGGACTACTGTGGACGTAGTTTATCGGGGGGAGATGATACACCCTGCTTCCACTTGATGACACCGCTAACCTCTCGCCTCGTCAGACGCTACCATCCCCCCTTGGCCAGCGAAAATGACTCTTGAAGAGAAGGTCAAAAAATTAAATTCTGGTATGTCCACCGAGTATTCAGTTCAAAGTACCCAACGAAAAAAACTGGGGATATTACTCACCCGGCGCGAAAATACAGCCATGCAAACTATGTTAGCCAGTCGCGTTTGCCTTCTGGAAATAGTTTGCCGCAATATTATATGCTTGGATCACCTTCGTTTCTTTGTAAGACATCAGACACACCTTTTCAGTCCCATTTTCTAAGACTTACTTTATCACCGGATACAGCGGCATGCGAATTCCACAGGTTTCAACAAAGGTCTTTTGAAATCAAATTCAATGCTGTTAGAAAGCTTAATGTCACTTGAGCACAAGAAATTCGCAAGTAAGTGTATTTCGCTAATTTCGTGGGATTTGGGTTCAAGTAGAACATAAGCTTGATGGAAACTCGGGGACTGCGCCCACCTGATGTACCCCAATAAGTCCGAAACCGGTCGTGGGTTGTCGACGAATTTCAGCAACCTTATGAGTAGCGCATTACGTCTATACATGGATCGCGATATCTCGAATATCGTACAAACTGGAACATGAGGCAGCCTGGTGCAGCGCATTCCGTTGCCTGGAAACATCACAAACGAGAGATTCAGCTGGGTTCCAGGTGAGTCTCTCTCAAGACCAAATTAATTTCGCTAATTTCTTCACAAACACCTGTTCTTTATCGTACATCTCTTCCTGTCAAACAAACCTATTTTCACAATATTTTCACCTTGCAGTTGCTTTCGTGAACTGTTTGTTTCCACACCGTCAGAACGCAAGCCCAGCTCACCGGGGGAAATTGCAAGCCTGCCAAACTAAACTGCATTTCCGTCCTTCCCCCACCCGCTCTGCTCCACTAGAATTCATCTCGGGGTTTTTGTGATTTTCTGATGACTCATCACAGGACAGCTGCGTGTCCGTTTTACCCACCTAGAAAAAACACATCATCCGGTTGTTGAACACGTGTGTTGTGCACACCGGGCAGCAGTTTGGTCGAACTGGCGTCTTTTGCGCCTATCTGAGATAACACATTAAACTAAGAGGGCAGTTTTGTAAAGCTCTTTGCTGATGTCTTTTTTTTCACGCTCCCACGATTATCTGTGTGTTGGTCCTGGCAGAATCCTGTAGGGTGTGTGTGTGTGTGTGGGGGGGTG